TCTTCATCTGATTTAAAATTTTCAATCAGTATTTCTTTATAAAAGACTATATCAAGGTTATAAGTCATAAAAATTGATCTCTGTTATCAGCTCATCTAATATTAAAAAGTGAATTAACATTTACAAATTTAAAATGCAATCATAGAATCTGAAACATATTCTCAATTGCGCTCAATTCTAAACTATTATCATTGCATTTGATATATCTGTCAATTGTGTTATGCCATGCATGTGTTGTATTATTTATTTATTTATTATTATTCAAATTAAATCATTCATGTTTTATCAATTTTATTTGAAAGAAATTTTCTTCATTTTTATTGCAACAATTCCATCCATCAAGTGCTAAAAAAAAATTTAAATTAATTACTAAAAATATTAAATATAAAAAATTAATATAATTTATTTACTTAAAGTTAGATTTATCTCATCATCTAATTCAGCATTAATTGATTTTTTGATTTTAGCTACTTCTTCATCAAGTATACGTTCAGAAAGAGTATATCGAGAAGGAGAATTAAATCCAATATTTAAAGCTTTAAACATATCAATTATGAAAGGGTTATCAATAGTCTCAAAAGGAATTCCAGCACATACCCATCCGCTCTATCAATTTGTCGCTGTCTTTCTTTTGATATTATTTCTGATGATCCTGATTTAATTTCATTTTTATTTCGCCTTCTGATAGTTTTTTCTTCCATTGCCAAATTGTCTCTCCAAATTTTTTTAATTTCATAAGGAACTGTCTTACATTCTCGTGCTAAATGATGTTTAAGTACATGTGGCTTTCCACAGTTTCATATAGCTGAGCAGTATTTACAACTAGCTTTATAATGCTCATCTCCTAAATGTTCTCCAGTATTGACATATTCCCAAACCAAATCTCATTTAGGTTCACCACGATGCCTTTTTTTAGGCTAATTAAATAAAGAATTTTCATCAGATGAGTTATTTTGATCATCATCAATTTCTTGAGCCATACCAATTTCATTTTGCTCTTGAAGTGGTTTTAATGATGTTTGTGAAATAGATGATTGACACATAAAAATGTTGATTACAATTATAATTTAATTCAGATAATGAAACATGCGAATTATTACTTCTTTGTTTGTATTCATTATAGAAAAAACTTTCGTTAATAGGCAAATTCAAAAAAAATAATTAATTTATATTGTTTTTATTACATTATAGCGATAGTGATATTATAATTGATTAATTAACTTATTACATATTACATATATCATGATAATGCGTATCTAATTATTATATATTTCTTTTATTTTAACTTGTATATATTTTAAATTATAATTTTTATTTAATGTATAATTTTATTTTTTAATACATTTTTATATTTTATTCTGTAATTAAATCTTTAAATTCTTTTATAATAAAAAATTTTAAAGAACCAAATTTTAAGGAAGTAGATGGAAATAACATTATTTATTCAAAAGCTATTTATAAATATAGATTTTAATCAAGACACTTAATTAAATAAAATTATAATTATTTAGATTTTCAAATGAAAAAGTTTATAACTAGAAACTAGCCTAGAAAGAAAAGAATATAAGGGTGCAGAAAATGAGTCAAAGATAAGCCTAAAAATAGTACTCCTAATGTAATAATATTAACATTATGGCTATTTTTAGGATATTTATCTATAGTATTACCAAGTTAAATTTTGTACTGAATTGATTTCTTTTTATATTTAGATTCATGTTATATATTATAAAAAGTTGTTCACAAAGGTATATTAAAAAAATCTCTTTCAAATTTATATAATAAAAGCAACTTACCACAGTTTAACTCCGTAGAATAAGTTGGCATCTAGTAAGAAATTCCGAAAAGATTTTAACAAGATTCAAAAGTACAACACTGACTAAATCCGTGAGTTAATAAGTAAAATTTTTTAACTTGAACTTCTGCCGTATATTATCGATTAAAAGCAACCCAAATATTGCAAAAAAGGCTTTCAGGTTAAAATAAAAAGTTTGCTTATATTTGGATCTAAAGTTATTAGTAAAACATAATACTCTCAGCCAACATTCAGCTTTTTATTTGGGTTGCTTTTGATTGATAATGATTTAAGTCAATGATAAATTATAGAAAATTCAAAAAAATCTTCCAAAAAGATAAGTGTGCCTAAAATTGCAAGTTAGTAAATTATCATTTTTAACTCAATCGCAATTAAACCTATTGTGAATTTCTAAATTACTTGAATTAAAAATAAAAAGTTATAGAAAATTTAAAAAAGAACAAATTGCTTGAAAAGATATGTACAATATTGAATAAACCTTATAGTAAGTAATTTTTTTTAATTGTTAAACCTATTTTGAATTTCTAATTATTATTTAATTTAAATAATAGTTGAAGGAAATTCAAAAAGAAAAAATTTTCTGAAAAGATATGTACTGCACTGACCAAACCTTCAAGTTAGTAAGCAACATCCTTCAACTCAATCCTTTTTCAGTTGTCATTAATTTATTTTGAATTTCTAATTATTATTAAAAAGAAGAATCCTCTGAAAAGTTAATTTGCACATCTTTAAAGTGTAAAGCAACACGTAATGACCAAGATGAATATCACGACACAGTACTTATAGGAGACCAAAAATAGCAGAGTTTTGGCTAAATGGAATGTACAAATTGTCAAGCTCATTGGAAAAGTGCGTATGTTTGGATTCTTTTAGAAAAATTCAATTGTAGAACCAATTCCTCAAATCTAGTTAAAACTAAAGATCATTTTTGTCAAAGTTGTAAAATCATAAGGTAATAGTAAAACTTGTATATGATTTAGTGGAAACCTCTCTTCAAATCAAGTAGAATGAATGATCTACCACACAGATCTGACCTTTGTGTAAAATGTTAGATATATTTTGTTAATACAAGTCACACTATTTATAGTGATCATTTGTGCTTAAAATCGCTGTATAGAGATTTGAATTAGTTTTCACTATATAATTAAACATCTGAACAAAAATTAACTTTGCGTTTATAAGTTTTAACGCACAATTTTTGCATCTTCTAACGATGACTAACACTGGTATTAACCATATATTTAATTAGTTTTTAAAAATTTATAATAATCATGTTTAAATTAATTTTTAAGTTTTTTTTTTAATATCGATATATATTTTTTTGAATGAGTAATATGAATAGTTTAATAGATAAAATAAAATAAAAATGTTTATACTATTTAATTTTTTTTTAAAAAAATATATTATACAATTGATTTTTTAAGTCATTATTTCTTTATTTGTTGAGCAATTTCCAGTTTATTATCATTAGCATGGTTTTTCTGTCATACCAATCCTGTTTAAAATATGTATAAGTTTTAAAAAAATATATTTAGATATAATTTGCGACATAACGCAAAATAATGGTCATTTTTTGATTTAGAAAACTGTATAATTTACTGTGGCCGCATCACACTTTAACTACACAGATGAGTCACATGAGTCTATGTCGGTTTGATTTCCCAATCTATGACACATTTCGTTTCATTATATTGTCTTACTGCTTTATAAACTGTAGAGGTTAATAGTCTACTAGCATATATCGATTTAGAATTTATATTTTCGACAGGTGATGAATCACCTTTGACAGATGATATTTTTGTAATAGTAAACTTTAAGTTTTAGAAATAATTTTTTAATTCAATTTTTTTATCCAATTTCTCAGGTAACTTGTAAAGTTAATACTGTAGACGTTACTTCAAGTAATATCTGAATGTATACAGTTATTTAAACAAATAACTTGTTTTATCATTGAGATCTCCATTACTTTGTTTAATATCCTTACTTAATTTAAAAGTGGCATAGGCTTTCGCGTAATCATGCAATTGATTTTATTTTACTACCATATTTATTATTCGTATTAAAATTTTTTAGATTCAATTATATATTTGACACTAGTGTTTAACTAACAGTGCTGTTCGTAAAAAATGCTTACAACAAAAATATAATGGCATAAAAAGGTTCATAACGGGAAGTTTCTTTGCAATAAAAAAGAAATAATTAATAAGGAAATACTTATCAAAAATCGGAATGAAAAATATGTTATATTCATAACTCCATATATATTCAAAAATGCTTGCGACAATAAATGTTTGTGATTAAAAAAGAAAACTGTAACGAAGAGAGAATATAATGAAAAAATTATGTATGGCGACAGGACGGATGTTTCGAATGATTGTGTGCCAGCATATTTTAGCTGTGTACACTGGTGCAGTTAGAAAGGATTAGACAATGCCGTCATATTTTTAGATTAATAAGTTGTAGGATCAATATTTAATATGGGCTCTCCATTGACAAGAGAGTAGGAAAGAAATGATGTTGAAGATGATTGACACAATTCAGTATCCTCATAACTAGTAGAAAAGGAGTTAGACTTTAATGTGACATTTGGCACATTGCTTAGCGTCGGTTCATCGTAAATTAAATAGGGAAAATATGATAAAGGTGATTGATTAATATAAATATTTTGAAATTTAGTAGTCCCCGATACTGGGCATAAACTGCTCCAGATACTAGGTGAAAGTTGCTCTTGATACTGGGTGTAAGCTCTTGGTGTCAAGCATGAATAGTTCTCGATATTGGGCGTGAGTTGATACTGCATATAAGCTGCTCTCGACACTGCGTGTGGGTTTCCAATACTATGTATAAGCTGTTCCCAATGCTGGGACTGAGTTGTTTCATTAAGATTAATATTTGAAAAAGGAAGGAGATTTGTAAATCCAGGATTTTGCCTGTGTGGTTTTGGCTCACGTTTGTTACCTTGGGTATAAACACAGAATCGATTATGTTCTCTACAATTTATACAGGTATCCTCCCCAGGAGGTCTTTCACATTTTTCGTGTCTATATCGGCAATTTATACATGCTATGCTCGCATTAGTACGTGTTCTTTGTGGAGGCATTATTTAATATGCACCAAACAAAGGGCCAAACTCTAGAGATGAGTTCAAGAGGTGTTGATTCAGTATACACGGTTCAGATTTGTGTGAGGAAAAATCATAAATTAATGATGATCGAATATATCTCGTTAGAGGTACTGTATTTATATGTCATTATTATAAATTCAGAAAGGTCAGAAATGTTAGAAATGACAGACTAGAAAAACAGATCTTCAGAAAGAGCAGAACAGAAATGTAAACAGAAAGAACAGAATATCAGAATGAACAGAAATATCAGAATATCAGAATGACAAGAAAACGTCAGGAAAATAATGTATTTTGGGTTGAATCTTTTGAATCATCTGAAACAAAATGTAAGTTTGTATTTATTCTTCATATGAAGAAATGGGGTTTTAGGTCTTCGTCAACTCATGACAATTTTAAGAACACTTTGTTTTAAATAAGTTCTGCGCACAAACCACGGAGTTAAACCTTTTATGAATATTTAATGACTATGTAGTTTATCCATTTAAGCATAAAACAAATTATTTTTCCCGTATTTTATATATGCTAAAGATATTAGAATTATCTATTATAATTTTTTATCTAGAAGGGAATATGATATAAATTTTATTCAAAATCATTTTATTATAAATACAGCATGAAAATAAATAAAAAACTGCTTGTAATCTTTTTGCCGTGTGTATGTATAACCAAAACTTAATTTACGATGAATAATTTATCCGTTGTGTATTCTGTAAAATTTGAACAATATATACGACTTAATAATAGCCTCATATTTTCAAAAAGGGTCTGTATAATTATTTTTAGGGTATCACTATGTTAAAGTTTTTTTTTTTTAAAAAAAAAAAAATACAATTGTAATTTCATAATCCGTCTGCTAATCTTCTTTAGCGGCATCTAGCCAGTTAACGCGTGCGATCTTTGGAAACAGTATATTTATTCTTCGCCAGCAAAGTTTAATATGTTGATCCACGGAAACGTTGGCTGTTATGTGGAACTGTAGTATTTCGAAAAGTATTAGAATTATTAGCAATTTGAGTTGGTTGACCAACAGAAGCATAAGCTTGAGAAACGTCAGTAAGATTGGGGATTTGATGATAAACAATATTGGAGAATTCTAAAGCATTCTGCAGTTGACTACCGATAGTAGCATGGGCACCAGAAAACCCAGGGTAATTTTGAAGCGGTTGATAGTTGAGATTTGGATTAAAGCTAAGTTGATAACTGTCGTTGTGTCGATCGACGGTAATTAAAATTGATTGATGTGTAGTATCTTGAGGAAAGTTAGTGGTTATTTGTGAGAGGCCAGTATTTTGAAATGATCCATTTTCAGTATCAATATTTTGCGATAATTCATTTGTAATGTTATTGTTGTCCTCTGGTGATGATTCGTCTTCACTATCATCGTTGCTATCGCTATTGTCATTTACTAGTTGTTGAAATTCTCCAGCCGTCAATTTGGAGATCGTTGCCAAAGTCAATTTGGTCATTTGATAAATTCGGTTAACACCAGACTTCTGAAAAAGATAATATACTCTTACAGACACTTCAGCATAGTATCTTGACAAATCTTCATCGTTGAATTTTTTTTTCCCCGGCGCTTTTTCCAAAATTTCCCCAAGATAGAAAGCGTAAACAAGAGTATGAATTCGATTTAGTTTTCTAGCCCTTTTCAATTTTCGAAATATGAATTTTATTTTTTTTTGGGTTTGCGATAGTTTTATATCTTCCTCTACAAATATGTCACTATTTAATTTTTCTAAATCTTCACGGGCAATATTGTAATAATTTTTCTTTTTTGAATTTTGCATTTTGAATGAAATTTTGATAATGATTAATGGTGTTTATCGATTATTTTGTCAATTATTTGGTTGCTAAGACTAAAATTGAAAAAAAAAATTTTGACAAATAAGTTAAGATAACCCGGTAATTCTGCTAGGAAACCATTACATTTAAAATAAAAAATTTAAAAAAATCATGTTGCCTAATAAAAATGACTTACTGCATATAGTTTTGATAATAAAAATAATTAGGTTGACGAAATGCTTATTGTTTATTGTTATTTAACGATAGGTAAAAAACTTGTAAGAATTAAGAAGGGGAGTATCGGTATTACAGGTAAAAAACTTGTAAGAATTAAGAAGGGGAGTATCGGTATTTACCTGCTTTTTATACTTTTTGTAACTTAATATATCCGATTTGGAAGAATTTTCAGAATTTATTGAATTTATTGAATTTGTCGAAATTGCAGAATTTGCAGAATTGGTAGAACTTGCAGAATTTACAGAATTTGTTACCTATTATTTACAAATTTTATCTTCTACTAAGCCAAAGGTCATTGGTGATTTATAGCCTAAACTTATTAGATTGTAATAGATTTCTTACCTTCACTTCTGCTAAATCATTAAGCATTTAATTATACACAGAAGTGCAGCTCATACCTAACAGAATGCGTTAATTTCACTACCATCATGATTATAAATATAGAGATTCTTTAAGTAAATGCGTCTCTTGCGAAATGATGAGAAGATAACATCGCGAATAACCATTTTCTGTAAATAAGTTTTTGTTTTCATGTGATTTCCATTTCATGAAATACAATCAGGACAGTATACTTAAAAAGCACGATCCTATGATAATCTGCACTTGCAGAGGGAAATTTGTACTTTGAGCATTTTGTCGCTCGAAGGTGAAAATTTTTAAAAAGCTATTTTTGTAATATATACTAATAAATATATAGCTTGAAATGCAAGAACTTTTAATTCAGAGAATTTTATCATAGTGCAAGGCTTAATTATCTCCAGTGGTGCATAAACTAGTTTTTCACTAGCGTGGCATCTACTGTTAGTGTGTCACTTCCGGGTGTAATTAATACGATAAATATCTTAAAAATTCCGCAGTACTAATATAGAAACGTGAGATAAATTCCACTTAACTGACATTTAATAGTTACAGTTTTCTGTTTCGCATGATCCTATAATAATTACAAAGTGTATACTCTAATCTCTTATTTTGATTGCAAATTTTTTTGCCATTTATTTAGCGTTTAATTATCACTTATGCAAACATACATTTATATTTAACCAATTTATATGTAATATAAAAATTTTAAATTTTGCTAATTTATAAGGATAATTTCTTCACGAGTTAATAATATTTATAAAATATAAGATCACAATAATGAATGAAATAAATAAAATTCATACTAATCATATATGCGAAAGTTTAATAGTCACATATTTTACAGGAGAGGGTACACCTAATTTTTGGTGAAAATATAATCGGCACAAGTTTTCTAAAATCTTCTTTGTGAATTAAGAATTTGTACTGGCTTATATCTTCAAACTGTGCTGAATTGGATCGAGCTGAATAATGGTCGTTCTCTTCCAAAATTGTTTCTTGGGGTGATTTAGCATCAACATTAATCAATTCATCTTTCATTAAGTCAGTTAATTTTACTAAATTTTGAAATTCACGGGATTCCAATCTGGAGATCATTCTTAAATTCATGGTGGAAGTTCTGCAAATTTGCTCAACACCAAGCTTTTCAAAAATATAGTATGTTCTTACAGACACCATGATAAAATATCTAGTTAATAGTTTATTGCACATGGTCCTTTCTTGTTTAGTGACCGTTTCCAGTAGTTGCCCCAAATAAAAGGCACAGACAAGAATATTAATTCGATTCTTTAATCTCCTAGCACGTGCCAAACTTCTCCACAAAGTAATTATTTTATTTTGGAGCTCAGATGATTGTTCATATGAAGGTGATATAATTTTATTGGTCACTGGCGAAGATTTAAGTAATTCGTTTAAATCTTTTAGTAATTCTTCGACATTCCTGTCTTTAATTTTCGTGCCCTTTGAGACGCATCTTTAATCTTACGTAAGACAGATTGGCTGTTTTTTTTCATCTTTGGTGTTTTTACTAGAATTATAAAATTTTACATTTTCACTTTGCGACTTCTCGACCCATTTATATTAGAAATTTTATTAGGCGAAGTTATACATCAAACAAATATCATTTATAAATACTGTATCTCAACAACTTCTTTTACTTATTTCTGAATTAATCGGGGTTTTCATTTTTTAGAATTTGCAAAATTTGTAGAATTGCAGAATCTACAGAATATCAGAATTTGCAGAAATTCAGAATATGCAGAACTGCAGAATTTGTGGAACACCTTATAGTGCATGTGATGTTTAATTTGTTAGTACGTACGTAAGTACATACATATCAGATATGTTTGTCAATTATTAATGCCGGATTTCCAGGCAAATTTGCTGGAAAACAGTAGACGATTTTTTTTAAAAAAAAAAATTGACATAAATGTCTAAGATCGACAATTCTAAAATTAGCATTAATGTAATGGTAACGATAACGTTACCATTACGCTAATTTAGGATCGTATCTTAGACATTTTTTTTTAAAAAAAAATCGTCTATTGTTTTCCAGGCAAATTTGCCTGGAAATTTTATTATTAAATGATTGGCTAGGTACTTTCGGTCTAAAAAAAATTAAGCATTAGGGGGCTTTTACTTATTAGAGTTTGGTTTACTATAACATTTATCAAATAATTTAAAAATTTCAGGCAGATTTGCTTGGAAAACAGTTTAAGGGATCATTTGGTTTAATATTAAAAAATTTCGAATATTGTTATTTTTAATTTTCTTTTTTTTTTTTTTTTTTTAAGCGATCCTGCCTTTATTCATATGAACTGTTATATAATTTTTACACCCATGTGTACA